ATAAAAACTTGTTTCGAAGTTTATGGAGTAGTATTTCGTTAATATTTCATCTTATAGGTAATCAAAGGAAGGATTTTGTTTGGAGTTTGAAAAATACAGGAGGGCATGGGAGGGCTGTTTGTATGGGATTTGACCTGCAAGCCTCCAGAAGTGTTTTAATGCGACATCCTTATACTCCTACACCTAATGTGAATTCAGGGATTCTTTAAGTTGACTTACAGCATCACTGGTCATCCCTTTACTAGCTACCTCATCCATTTCAATCTTTGTTATTTCCTTCTCCCTGCAGTATTAAATTTGTGAGACCACCATGCTCTTTGTCCTTTGGTTTCTGTTCTGGTACCTGGACTCTTCTGGACTTGGAAATACCGTGAGAAGCAAGAATTTACTGGATAAAGTATTACATGTTTTGCATTTGGTACACTTAAATGGCAGATTTGGAATTCCAGCCACTTATGACTGGTCTCTGCTTTCCATATGTTGCTTGGATTGTCTGATGTAACTGTGCAAAATTTCTTCCTCCTGGTTCTTGGAGAAGTGTGAGCTGTGTATAGTACTCATGCTTGAAAACAGTGTCTTCCTCTTGAAAAGTGTGTGCAGAAAGCATATGTATGAAGGAAACTGATTTGTAATTTAATTGATCATATCACATGCTTTCCTGCCTTTGCTTGGGATCATAATAAATATTTTCCTCCATAATTGTACTAGCTGAGTTAAAATTACTCCAAGTTCTGCATCCCAGTGTCTGCTTAAAAAATATAACTGTGTTTATGTTAAAGGCAAAGTTATGAAGAATGAATGCAGATGATAATTGCTATAGGCATTTCCAGGAAGTTTCTAAATAATTGTAAGATCCATAACTCTGAAACTTTCTTGAAAGTATTTGTTTCAGTGATGCATAGAGTCTTTGGCACCAAAAGTCCATTCGAGTGCTTGTAGTCCAAATAAACATCCAGCTTTATGATGTCCCTAGTGGCTGGACTAATTTGTGCTGTTCTGTGAGTGCAGTGCTATAATTCTGTGCTTTAGCTGTTCCCACAACGTCTTGGAAGTCAGCAGTCAAGATCAGGTTTCCTGACAAACAGTTTGGTGTCTTTACATGTATGTCCAGTGATTCATTGTCTTGGGATGTTTGTAAATGGTGAGGTCTCGACATGCTTTTGGGGCAGATGGGAAATGCTATCTTTCTACTAAAGAAAACACAGAATTATGTATACTTGGGGGATTCCTTTTACATGACTGTAAGAGGTCAAAGAACTTCATTTATCTGCTTGGAATAGTCAATTTTATTGAAATTCGGAGAGGAGTATAGTTTTCATGAGTCTTACAGACTTGGTTTTAGTGAAAAATTAAAATTTATTAACAGAAACAGAACCTTTGTCTTGCAATATTTCCTAGTTCCTTTTGCTGGATGCAGAAATATTTCAGACTCAAAATGGCTCAAATTTGGGTTCAACAATCTCTGCTGAAACCCACAGTCATCTAGATAAAACTCACCTAAACAGGCACGGTTATAGAAGCAGCTCTGCAAGGGCTGACAGTAAAAGCTGCAAGCAAGAGACACAAGTTTCAGGGCAGTAATAGGAGCCCGTGTTCTGCAGGGTTGGGTATGGCTGCTGAGGAAGGTCAGAAGCACACAATGCCCGGTGAAGTCTGCAAGTGCACATTGATCAAGCTGCGTTGTTCTTTGAGCATATTGCCTGTTGTGGTCCCTGCATGCCATCTCCTTTCAGTGCAGATTAAAGGCCTGGGTCTTATTTACTCTCCAGTAGAGTGCATGGCTGAGCTGGTCCACACAACAGCTTCTTAGTTTCTCTTTGAGCTTGAACACAGAAGAATAAAGATTCATGACTCCCCACCCCCTGCCCAAGTAAGCTGACCTCTTGGAGGCATCTCTTCACCTAGTGGTGTGAGGATAATGCCGGGCTATGTACAGAAAGAGAAGAGCAGGCTTTCTGATAGGACAGAGCCCAGGGCCTTTCTTTTGGGGAGCATTCAAGTGTGTTAGGCTAAAATAGAAAACAGGTGAAAGAGGCCTGCACCCTGTCACATGACTTACCATCTAAGTTTCTGCAGCAATAGATGCTTCATCTTAAACCTTGGGGAGTGACTCTTTCTTGTGTTTCTTACAGTTTTTTGGGTTTTTTTACCAATCTGATCTCTCATACACCACTGAGGGTTTTTTGTGGTGGTCCCCAGTAGTGACTCAAAAGTTCTGACTCTAGAGAGGCTCCTGATGGGGTCCTGTACCTCAAACCCTCACCTTCTGCCACTTTTTAAATTTTGCATCTCATTCAGTTGAACCTGTAGATCCTCTGGGCCACAAACAAGCTCTGTCTCAGGAAGAGCAAATGGCCCACCTTTTGGATAGTGAATATTGCATCACACAACCCTTTATGTTCCTAGACTGAGTGGCTCCTGATTGATCATGTGTTGTGAACAATCTAATATCCCATGGCTTTTTGTATTTGTATGCATCTCTTTTACACATATTTATTCAATTGGTCTGTTCTGTTTTGCACAATATTAGCCCATCACTTTTCTCTCACATGCAGACATTGTTGCCTTGGCAACAAAGAGCAAAGGCACTCAGTGAAAGTATGTACAGATAACTGTGATAAAAAATATATTCTTATCACTGCATTAAATTAAATTAAAAATAAAGAGCCCAGCTGTAGAAAATCACTCAAGCAGGCTGACTGATTGAAATGGGATTCATTCATGTGCTACAGTGATTTCCTACATTCCACTCTAAATCACTGCTCTGTGCAAGGATGACTGAAGATTGATGGAGCAGTAGTATGTTTAATGGTGTGGCATGAGCAACTATTCAGTAGCTCACTCACACATGAAATCCATGTAACTGTCAGCTCTTAAACTGGCTCGAGGAAAATTATTTTAAGACAATACATTGCTTTACAGATTGCTTGTCTTTATGTCTTGTCCCTTTCCTCCTGAAAGATTTGGATTAGGAAATATGAGTTCAGAGACTTGGCACTGCTTTTCACTTCTGAAGATGAGATTTGGCTCATGCATCATTGCCTGCATGAGATGAATGCCTCATCTGAACTTGGAATATACACTGCCCCTATCCTTGTCAGTTGAGAGGCATTTCTCTACAAGTCCAAGTTGTCCTACCTCCCTGTCATTTGAAAGGAATGGATCACCCTTTGGAAGCACCCCTTCCTCTGCTGTGTGGAGACAGGGAAGGAGGAATGAATCCCCCTCCCCTTCCCTTTGCACATACCTCTCCTCTGTGTTCAAGGTGAGAGATGGAAACTAGGTCTGGCATCTTATATACCTAGTGTTTGTTTTACATTAGCTAATTTTACTCAATTACAATGTTTCATTACAGTCATTCTTGTTCCCTGGTCTTTTTTGCTGACATGATGGAATTCTTGCTTAGGTGGACCTGGAGCTGAGCCACTGGGAAACAACAGATACCATCAGTATTAGGTTAGGTCACCATAATGGTACATAAGCTTTGCTCCTTCTGAAGACAAAATTTAATCTGAGGAGGTGAGGTGAAATCCTCACCTGTGAAAAAACTCTGTGAGAAAATATGGTACCCAGTGGGTGTGCATTGCAGTGTTCAGTTAAAAGGTTTCATTTGAGCTAGATTGGTTTATGCTCTTAGGCTCTGGGGGAAAGTCCATCTTGTGTTCAAATGGTGCCATCCAGCTATTGCCTTAAGCTGGTACATCATAAGCAGTTTGCCGTTGTGGTGTGAGAAACTGGAATTTTGGCACTCCAATTCATTCAACCCCTTTTGGAATGAAAAGTCATGAATCCCTTATGTTTAGTCTCCTGATATTCTCAGCACTGTCAGAATTCTGTTTATAGCTTCTTGCTTTCCCTGACTACTGGAATAATTCTGCTGGTTCTATTGCCATGTATTTATGAACAGTATTAACAGAAAACAGTTCTTCTGGAGTTACTTTGCTGTAACTTTGCTATCAGTTTTAGCACTGTGTACATCTACAGAAGCAAGGAATCACTCCAGTGAGTAATTTGCTGAAGGCTAGTTTTAATTTATGTAGGCTGTTAAATGAAGAAATGTTTTATGAAAGCTGGATCTATGAGGAAGTATGCAAGGCCTTTGTTCTCTCTTTGTTCTCTCTTTCTTCTGCTTCTCAGCAGCCTGGTCTGATGACAGGTTAGAGTGATGGTGGAAGATATTCTGCGAGCAGAGCATAGAGTCAGGAAAGCTCCTGCAGTCTTTGAGTAGTCATTTATTCACTATGATGCCAAAATACAATCTTACCAGCCACAACAGCTGCCTGAGAATGGAGTAGAGATGTAAATCACAGAATTAGGGCAGAACTGTCTAAGTCCTTCTAAAACTAAGTCCTTTCATCAGCATGGCTGAGGTCAAGCTTCTGGCCCCAGTGGCATATAATGAAGAAGGCGATCGGTTTGATGATCTAAGTCATTGGGTTTCAGAGTGGAGAGTCTTAAAATGTAGCCAGATTCTGACCTTTGCATCACCACCAGTGGTAGACTCACTGCTGCTCTTGAACAGGGGTGTCCAAACTTCATCTCTTATTCCCTCAAGTAATCCACAATGGCCTGATCATCACAGAGCCAGTTAGGTTGAAAAAGACATCTAAGATGATAAAGTCCAGCCTTTGACTAATCACCACCATGCCAACTATACCATGGCTCTAAGTGACACATGCAGTCTTTCTTTAAACACTTCCAGGGATGGTGACTCCACCACCTCCCTGGGCAGCCCATTATGCAACAACCTGTGGGACCAGAGTAATTGCAATCACATCTGCATTTTAGAAAGGCAGACTGTAGTAATTGGAGTGACCTTGGGAAAGTTCAGCAATCACTCATTAGAGATCCCGTGTTTCTGGTGCATGTTGATGGAGAGTGATAAAGCCTTGCCTGCCTTGAGTGTGGCACATCTCCTGTGATGAGGAAGGACTTTGTTGTTCTTCTCCCTCTTTCCATGTGGTTGGTGAGTTCTGATGTCATTTTTCTTTTAACTGCAGGTCACTTCATGGGCAACAACACAGTGATTGATGTTTTAAGGAGAGAAGGGTACGAGGTAGAACACACTCCAGCTGGACAAGCCATCAACAAGTAATGCATGCTTTTACCTAGCTGAGCAGCCATTGGCGGGGGTGGGTTTGTAAACAATTATGAAATAGGAATGGTAGATGGAATTACAGCTAAGAGGCAGCTAGGCTTTTTCTCTCCTTCCCAGCAGTTTGCTTTTCTCTTCTATGAGCTAGTTTGGAAAGAGGATTTTATTTGGTTTTGTTTTGGTTTGTTGTTGTTTTGGGGTTTTTTTTTTTTTTGTTTCATTTTTTTTTTTTTTGGCTTTTAGTGTTGGGGTTGGGGCTCTTTGGTTTGTTGTTGGTTTTGTGGTGGGTTTTTTTGTGGGTTTGGGGTTTTTTCGGTTTTTTTTTTTTTTTTTTTTGGTTTGTTGGGGTTTTTTGTATTGTTTTTTTGTTTTTTGTTGTTCTTATTGTTGTTAATAAAATTTCCACCCTTGTGCATTTTTAAATGTTAAACGAACAGCCACAGAATATGCATGCTTGCTTCATCAGATCTGGATGCTGTCTTGTATTACACAGGCTCCCAGGTTTCTCTTTCCTCTCTTTTATATGTTTGACAGCCCTGCCTTTTAAAATTCCCTTCTTTTATACTGCTATTTTTTATTCTTCCTGTTTACTCTCTTCCAGCCTGGAATCTCATTGCCCAGAGTCTTTGCAAGCTGTCTCTATGACTGATTGCTCTCATGTCCCCTGTTTTCTTCTGCGTTTTTAAGCTAGGGTACTTGTTGTTCTGGTTCATCCTGCAGCTGTCCTTTGGGATATACCCTTCCTTCTTCTTTTTATCTCTCTCTGGATGCTTTTATCCACCTCCATGGTTTCAGTAACTAGAGAATGCCAGATAATCTCCTCCTCCACTCTCTACCAAGAATTACTTGTGCTTTGACTCACCTCTTCCTGGAATTATTGCCACCAGCTTAGGTCTGCAATCTTTGCTTTCCCCTTCTTCAAACTCTTACCAAAGATGTAGCTGTCAGATATACTCACTCTTCACTCCTAAAAAACCACAAAGGAGAAAACTGGAAATTGGTCTCAATTATGGTACTGTTTCCCTTTTATCTTCTGTGCTGGGCATAGTGTCCCTTTTTACATCTCTGTCCCTCCTCCCCCACATTTCTGATGTGGGACTCTCAGGCAGGACTACTGCCTTTTGATAGGATTTGTGCAGAGGGCACAGTTGAGTCTTGGTCTGTGCCAAGGGCTCTACAGGTGTGGTGCAAATTAGTAACAGCTGTTTTTCTCATACTCTGATTGCTTCATCTTTCTCTTTATACCACCTTAGCTGTTGTCTGAAAACATGATACTGAAATTCTGGCAGGTCATGTTTCTGAAATGATTCTTGATACGGACACACATCATTAACTCTACATGCACTGAAAAAAATTGATTCAAGACTTAGCCCATAATTATATGAATGCCAGCCCCTAACCCTCTTTCTGCCAGTGGGCACATGGTCTGACAACAAGAAGCATCTGTGCTTAAGCACAAACTTAATGATTCTGTGACACTGGGAGTTGTGCTAGAAAATCCAGTGTATCAGTGTTTACAAGCATGATAAAAACTAACAAACAAAAAAAAACCTCAAACCCAAAACAGCCTGCACTGATATTTTCATGCTGTCTTTTCATTCTTAGCTTAGGTTTTTCCTAGAAACAGCTTCAGCAGCTTCTTAAAGCTTAAAGAAAGATAACTTATATAGCTTATATACTTCAGAATAAACAAGATCTGATACTGCACTGTAAAGATGTAAGGGCAGACAACTGAATAAAGAAGGGATAGATTTTCACCTATCAGGAAAGTGGGTATCAAGGTTACTTGGAGTAGCTGGGCACTCAGTTCCATAACCACATCATGGGAGTTCATTGTGCAACCTCTTGTGCCTTTGAAAGCCCTCAGTTTGGCATCAGTTGCATCTTAAACCTCTTATTAGGACTATTAGACAGAACTTCTTCCCTGGAGTCTTAATATTAAACCTGAGCAACAAGATGGCACTTTGCTGTTAGCATTTCTGTATAACTTGGAAACAGATTTAAAAATATTAAACGCATTTTAAGAAAAATGTGGGTTCAAAGGAAAAGAGCATTTAAGGTGAGGGAAAGGACCTGTGGCAAGAGATCATCAGACTCCTAGGGCTTGGAAGGAAGATTTCACTTGATTGTTATCCTGGGCTTGTTCTAGGAGCAAATAGAGAGCAGCCTCTGACAGTAAACCCAGCGTTGATCATGTGAACGTAGAGCTGTATCCAGCTACTGTGGCATGTAGTGCTGCACGCAGTCCAGTCGGTACCTGTGAACTATTTCACTGTTCATGATTGAGACGGGATAAAAAGGCAAGTGGCTGAACTGAGACAGAGAGTTTAAATGACTGCTCTGGTGTCAGACACAGTAGGGATATTAATTGAGAGGTTCTAAAATACAAGGAGGAGGAAGGCTGCAGCCATCTCCTTTCCCTCCTACATGACATTTCCCTGTAGCAGCACAGTCTGCTGCTTCCTGTACTCTGGCTAAACAAAAAGTTCCTTGTGAGATATGTTGTAGATTTCTGTGTGTAGGAACCAATAAGGATGCAGGATAGTCATGCTCTTTTTCCTGTAGCAGGCAGGGCTGCATGAGGGGTGCTTTCCATCTGCAGAGCAAATGGGGTGGATGCCTCTAGTTGGAGACAGAAAGGTTCCTCCTCCCTGGTGTCTCCCAGGCAGGGAAGGCAAAAGAGGTGCTCCAAGCCGGCAGTATTGCAAAGGATCGTTTATAAATAGTACCACAAGTTCAGTCAAGCTCCTGTTGACTCACTTTGGTCTTTAACTGTTGTTCCTGATTTTAGAATGTAGTTACATTTTGTAAAATATTCAACACAATCGCAGCCATAATTAAGGTGCTTGCTGACTGTCCCTTAGCTGCTGTGATGGGAAATTGGCCTGGGGGGAAGAAGGATGGGCTTTTGAATCTGTGTGCCTTTTCCAGTGGTCTCTAAAATAATTGCCTGCAGGAGGCATTGCAAAGGAGGTTTGGTATATGGAAGTGTCTGAGGCTGCATCTAAGAGAACAAATGTCTGACCATGCAGGATGCAGGTCGTCTTCTACCTGTAGCAGTGCTGAGCTCCAGCATGGTGGGGCCATGGGTTCAGAAGGGAAGGCTGTAGGCAGCATCATACTCTAATCTACAGGGGCAGGAGGCTGCCCACTCTGTGACTTAGTTAAGGAACGAAAACAGTGAAGAGAATGGTGGAAAAGGGAATCATGGGCAAAAGACCTTGAAACAGAATACATCAGATTGCTGGAGAGAGCTAATGAGAGATGATCACTCTGCAAGGTGGAGTAAAGAGTGGATGATGTGAAGCAGCTGATGAGGAGAGCTAAAGGGTGATGACAGTTCAGGGGCGATAAAGTGTGACAATGTGTGACACCACAATGATTTTGAATGAGATTGATTACCAAGGTCCTTTCTGCAGCAGACTCTCTCATATAAACTTCAACATGTGATCACTCTGATTTTCCTTGCAGCGAATAAGACAAATTATCTTTGTTTTACATCTACTCTCTATGTTCTAGTCCCCAGCTTCATTTCCCCTTCTCCAGGAACTACACTCTATTTGCTATCCAATAAGTGTGCATACAGTGATGGGCTAGCTTGAAATCTGCACCTATGCTGAAATATTTCTCCTTCCAGACCACCTCCTTTTCATGTCATTGGAGGCTGAAAAAGGAACACAGCTCTGGGGAAGTTTCATTTATTAAAGGCAGATTTCTGCTCAGTGGTCTGTGGTTTTGTTACTTTCCTGAATTTCAGCCCAAGCCAGTCTGCACTTTCATTACAGAAGACTGTTGCATTTCTTCTCTTTATGAAGTAGCCATAAAGATCAGTTAGATATTCCTGCTAGGTTCTGTGTATACACAGAGTGGTTTGAGTTTGTGGTTTTGTCCAAGATGCTCATAAACAAGTAACAAGGGAAAATTGTTCCAAACAATGAGAAATGTGGGCCAGCAAAGCCATGAGTGAATAGGACACTGCAGACTGCCTGTCTTATAGATGAGATGTTGCTCGCTCTAAAAATAAAGAAACAGCTTCAGTAATCAGGGTGAAGCTGATTGTTGTTTTTTTTTAATTTATCATCTTTGTAGGAAGCTGAGTAGTCATAGCCCTGAGAGCGTTTTCTGGGAGCTCAGCTTGGGGTTTCCAAGATTTGTCTTGTAAGACAGTCTGTACATGCCCATAGTCTCAGTGACGTATCTCTCTGGAGCTCTTTGAAATTCCTAATAATGCTACCAGCCTAATATAGGATCTGGGCAGCTGGAAGGCTAAGGCCTGACTCCCACTCCCTTGTTACTTGCTATATAAATGTGTGCAAAGCTCAGCTCTGTTTATGAGAGAGATGCAATTTCTCAGTTTCTTCCCCTTCATATAGACCTCCATATTTGTCCATAAAACCCACTAAGACCACCATTTCATGCTCCTTGGTGTGCTTTACCTGAGTGGCAAAACAGCATTACACCCTTTTGCATTCAACCCTAGAAGCCAATGCCACAGTGGTGGTGAGCTCTGGTCTCTAATGAGTCAGGCACATTCTCTGACGTGATGTTTTGTAAAGGCTGTGAATCCACTGCTTTGTGCTATCTGCCTGCATCAAGAAGAAAATGAGAAGAGGGTGAACTTGGTGGTGCCAAAACTAATCTGCTTTCGGTTGATGCAGACTGGATGGCCCAAAGGATTCCTTAATCATAGAATCATAGACTGTTAAGGGATTAGAAAGGACTTCAAAGATCATCTATTCCTATTCCCCCTGCCATGGGCAGGGGCACCTCCCACTAGACAGCTTCCTCAAGGTCTTATGCAACCTGGGTTTGAACATGCCAGGGTTGGGGCACCACAACCTCCCTGGGCAACACCTTCCAGTATTTCACCACCCTCATAGTAACGAATTTCTTCTCAATACCTGGCCTAAATGCATTCCTTCAGTTTGTGTCTGTTACTCCTGTCACTACAATTCCTGACAAAGAGTCCCTCTCCAGCTTCCCAGTTGGACCCTTCAGACACTGGGAAGTTGCAATGAGGTCTCTACTCAACCTTCTGTTCTCCAGGATGAACAGATCCAGCTTCCTCAGTCTGTCTTGACAGGGGAGGTGCTCCAGCCCTCTTACCAGTGTTGTGACTTCCTCTGGACTTGCTCCATGTCCTTATGCTGAGGACCCCACAGCTGGATGCCGGGTGAGAGTGGGCTCTCACCAGAGCAGAAGAGAGGGGCAGAATCCCCTTCCTCGCCCTGCTGCCCATGCTGCTCTGGATTCAGCCCAGGATCCCATTGCCTTTCTGGGCTGTGGGTGCTCATGGCTGGGTCATGTTAAGGTTTTCATCAACCATCACCCAAAATTCCTTCTCCTCAGGGCTGCTGCTGTAAGTTCTCCACTCAGCCTCTAGCTGTGTCTGGGATTGCCACAACCCAGGTACAGGACCCTGCACTTTCCCGTGTTGAGCTCCATGGAGTTTGCACAACCCACCTCTTTATCCTCTCCAGGCTCTCTGGGTGATATCACTTCCCTCCAGCGTGTTAGCTGCTCCGCAGAGCTTGGTGTTGGTGCCAAACTTGCGGAGGGTGCCCTTGATCCCACTGTACATGCCACTGACAAAGATCTTGAACAACCGTGACCCCGGAGGGAGACCACTCGTCACTGCTTTTCATGTGGACAAGGAGCTGTTGACCACAATTGTTTGTGTGTGGCCTTCCAGCCAGTTCTTTATCCACGAGGCAATCCATCCATCAAATCTATGTCTGTCCAGTTTGGAGACAAGGATATCATGTGGGACAGTGTCAAACACTTTGCCTAAGTCCAGGCAGGTGATGGCAGCTGCTCTGCCACATCCATCAATGCTGCAGCCCTATCACAGAAGGTAATCAAATTTAACAGGCATTGTTTGCCCTTGGTAAAGTCATGTTTGTTTTAGTTTTCAGGACAATCTGCTCCATGATCTTGCCTCACGCAAAAGGTGAGACTTTTGCTTTCTTCTTTTTAAAAATGAGGGTTACATTTCCCTTTTTCCAGGTGTTGGGAATTTTACCTGAGTGCCACAAGTTTTCAAAAATTATTAATAGTGGCTTAGCAATTTATCTGCCAGCTTCCTTAGAACCCACAGATGAAGCTCATCAGGTCCCGTGCACTTGTGCACATTCAGGCTCTTTAGATGGTCTCAAACTTGATTCTCTCCTGCATTGTGCTTAGGGCCTTCATACTCCCATTTGCCGTTCCTGACTTGGCAGCTTGGCTGGAACACTTGCCATTGAACATTGAGATATAGAGGTCATTGAGAACCTCAGCCTTCTCTGGATCCAGCAGTCAACCAGGTTACTGCTTGCCAGGTTATTGCTAAGCCTTTCCCTTCAGGGGCAGTAATTTTCAAGATGTGTTTCTGTAGCCATGGTCGTAGTCTGTGGGCTAGCTTGTTTCTTACTTTCTACACCAGTGAGGTGCTGATCCAGACCTGGTTTCATCAGCTGGTGTGCTTTAGTTGTTTTGTTTGCCCCATCCCTTTGTTCCGCAAGTTAGTTTGCTCTGGGCAGGAATGTTGAAAGGAATAATCTGGTCTGTGTTCTGCAGCACATCAGTCTAGAGAAGTGTGGTTTGACTCTGACTTAGAAGTTATTCTGGTTTTGTCTCTTTCTAGATATGCAAGCTTATTACCAAGAGCTACTCCACCCTTATCCAGACTGCATTCTTTCCTCTGACAGACTGCCTCTTTTTCAAAGATCTCTTTTTGCTGAAGAGCACTATTTTGATGATAAAATCAATATTGACTTAAGAAAGAGGGAGCAGGAATACACGGCAGAGAAATGAGCATCCAGGGAGAAACTTCTATTTTATATGTATGTGCCTTGATACAGGATTTTGCCTCAAAACCCTTTTAAATGTTAACTGTGTTCTCTCTTTCTTCCAGCCGAAAATCTCCCAAAACCTTGTTAGCCTTTTCATCATCACACAGTCCCTATGTCATGTCCCATGAGCTCCCAGTGCACCCCCAGAAGGAGGAGGAAGAGGAAGAGGAAGAGGAAGAGTTCCTGCCTCACCTGCTATTCCCTGACAGCATTGATGTGCTCATGAAAGTAGACAGGAAGTACAAAAAGAAGAAGAAAAAGCAGCAGAAGAAGCAAAAACTGCGACAATTTAATGACCTCTGGGTTCGCCTTGAAGAAAGGTAGCTAATGGCTGGGTAGGGGGAGGATGGCTTGTCAAACTGGACTTTAACTTAGATGGTTTAATACAGACCCTGAATCTTCTGCAGGGGTAGATATATCCTGTGGAGAGGATCTCACCTTCTCCACTGCTGTGATTCTTTCTGAAGCATTTGCACAAGGTTTCTTGTGCTTTTAGTGGCAAAAAAAAAAAAAAAAAAGCTTTCATTTTTTTTCTTTGCATAGTTAGATTTGTGGAAAACTAGGCATAAGACAAATGGAAGTCTTGTCTAGATCATTCTGCATGTGGGTTTGGATGATTGTGGACTTACGGCAGTCCTCTCTTCCGTAGAAGGCTGGGTCCAGTGGTAGATGGTACAGATCAAAGCCGCAGACCATTAACCAAAAGCTGCTGTGTATGAGGAAACTATCAACCCTGGCATGTGTTCTCCTTGCACTTGGGCAATAGTCATGCAGCGTTTTCAGTCTCTGTATTATTTCAGCCTGAAAAAGCATGACAGCCTAATGGATGGCAGAGTTTATATTAAAAAATTAGTGTGTTGTGGGGTAGATGTTCACAAATATCCCTTATTTTTCATCCAGAAAAGCTTGCTTACTTACCAGAACTGTAGCAACCCAGAAAAAAAAAAATCTGAAAAGCCAATTTCTCTCATTACCTATAATAGGACCTGTGACTGAATGTATGCCTTAATGTTTCCCTCATGTAGGTAACACACATGCCCAAATTTGCTTTCTTTTGGACTTTGTGTGTCTGTATCTCTGCCACACTCAGCTTGAGGGCATTAAATTTTTGTGATACCATAAACAACCAGACAGGTGGGGGTAATGGAAAAAAGTCTAACAGTTCTTGAAATGAAGCCTGTACATTATTTGGGTTTTTTTCCTCTCTGAAGAATACTTCTTCCTGCTCCCCAGGTTACTGAGTATAGCAGAGTTCTCCTATGCCTTTCCTATCACATCCCTGGATCCTAATTGTACCACTGCTATGATTGATACGTGGCTCAGGCTGGCAGCAAGTGACTGCAGCAGCTGTTCTCTTTGAGACATTCAGCTATTGTCAGATCTTTTAGACCACATTCCCTTCTTTGCTCCTCCCTTCAGCCTTAGTATTAAGTATTTGGGAGACAGATGCTCATGTAACATGTCCTCGGACAAACCCACATACAGTCTAAAACTCACCAATATAACAAATCCTATACTGATCACACTTGATTTTGTCTCTTAGTGTACCATTTACTTTCTGTTAATGTAGTTGATACTGATTGTGAATGGATTTTTGGGGCTTCTTTTGATAGTCTGTTTAGCTGAAATGCTAAGGAATGTCTGTCTTAATCTGCCGCCGTGCTTCCACAGTGCTGTGTTCCGTGTTTCACATGCAGTTGCTCCCACAAAGCTCAGAGAAGTTAGTGGTCAGTGACTCTTAAGACACCTGTGCACTTGCAGTATCAAGCCTTCAGAAGAAGAGGGAAGGTGGGAAGATATGCTACCATGACCAGATTGAAGGCACATTAGGGCTGTGTACTAGATTTGAAGTACTGAAGTAGTGAGGCAAAAGCAAAACAAATTATGGCAGCCTAGGAAACTACTGCATAAATATGGGAACAGGAAATGCTGTTTTTCTTTTCTTCTTTTTATGTTTCCTTTCTTCCCCTACTATTTAAGCTGTCCTTTGTGCTAGAAGCTTACCCCGGTGCTAGGTGATGAACGCTTTGTAGGGGCGACTCCTTAGCAGCAGAGAGGAGCTTAAACGTCTGGAGATGGAGATGTTGCATGGCAGTGCTGGGAAAGACAAAGGATGCATGAGAGATAGCTGTGCCTGTAGTGCCGAGGGAAGGCAGCTGTCCCTCAGGCAGGAGCCCCACCCGTGCGCTGGGTTTCTGTAAGTCCTGCTGTCTGTCTGCCGGGCTCTGCCGCAGCGCCCGTGCCGCGCTGGGCTGGGCTGGGCTGGCAGCCCCACCTCGCGGCGCATCCCTTCCCAGGGAAATCCAGCGCCTCTGCGCTCCCCCTCGCCTGTGCAGGGCACATCTGACTGGGAGTCTCATGCTCTAAACATTCCTCAGGGTGTGCAGACACAGGTAAAGCTGTCGGGTTTCTTACGAATGGGCCATTCACAGCTTTCAGGTTTACAAATGGGCTTGATGACCTTAAAGGTCTTTTCCAACCTACATAATTCTATGATTCTTCCTGTGAGCCTGAAAATGTGAAAGGTGCAGCTCAAGTGCTTTAGTAGTGTTGTAGTGGGCTTGTGAGAATGGCTTTGTTTCATGCTCCTGTGTGCATCAGCTGCTGGCTGTATTTCCTTGATGTTCTGCCAGCTGGCTTCTCTCCGGCTATTGTTCAGATCTTCTGGGGAGCCCTTTGGGTAAGGAAGAGTAAAGTGTTTTTAAAAAGGATAGTAATTGCCTTTAATTTCCCAAAGCATCTTTGCTTAGTGGACTGAAATAAGACAAGAATGATGCACAGCACCTGGGCATTGGGCGCAGAAGGAATTACTTGGTTTTCGTATTTGCCAGGTGGTCTTGCTTTTAGTTTTGGTTTTAGATTTGTCTTCAGGTTCTACACAACACCATGTGGTCCAGGGGGGTATGTCAGTCGCATAGCTGTGGTGTCAAGCATTGCTTTCAGTCCATTGCCAAAGAGAGCAACAGCCTGTGTAGTATCTGACCCTTCTGACTCTTGACATGCTGTGGTGTGTGATCTCCCCCAGTTCAGGTAATTTGGTGTTAGGAGCCTGGAGCATACAAATTTCTCTCCTCCATCATGGGTTGCCCTTACGGGAGTTCAGCTTATGTATGCTCTAATCCCGTTCTTGTTCGTCACGATGTCAGAGAACTCTCTACCACTGGGAGATGCTCTGAAATGTGGCGGTCCAGGATGTGTTTCTGGAAACCATTCTTCCTCTGCTAGAAGTATGTCACGTAAATCTTCGTAATTCCTGACCTGTGGGAGAGATCATACAGTATGGAAACAAGGTGGGTCCATATGAATTGCGGTGCATGAAGCATGCTGAGGAAGATGTACTCAGACAACAGGAGTGCGTCACTCCAGCTGTGCTCAGCAAGTGCTCCTGCAGTGACACTCCTCTGCAACAACACTTGATTTGTTCTTATCTATTTTCTGCTTAGCTGACAGAGGTTAGGAATATGGTCATCTTACCCACTTCTGTGTGAGCAATGAGCAGGCTGGATAGACTTGAGACAGGGCCAGTATTTTGGTGCTGTCATCACCCTCCTCTGTCTCTTCACTGTTCCCCGTCAAGTCTACTTCACAGTTTGGCTGGGTAGCACCTCATCCTTGTGGGCTGGTGTGGGAGCTGTCCACATGTGTGACGAAGGGACAAAACAGCACTCTGCCATTTAGGAGGCACAGACTTTTGGCCAGTGCGTAACTTGTACAAGAGACCATTCACATGGACCCAGAAAACTGAGAGTGGGTCACAGCGGCTGACCACCTCCTGCTATGTGTCTGTTGGGCAGCTGTGGGCTGCGTCAGGACTGATGTTCTTCTCTTGCCTTGCAGTGCTACTGATCCTCCTCCACGGATCCGCATCATTAATGGCTACATCACGGTCGAGCCCCAGCCCCGGGGCCATGGACGGTCCAGCCACACTCGCGCAGACACCAGCAGTGCTCACCAGATTTCCCATTCTCTATTCCTTCCACTACTGACTTTGACTTTGCGTAAGATAATGCTTCATTGAAACACAGGAGGACCCAAGCTACAAGACTCTTGCCTTAAAAATCAAAAAAGAAACTTATGCAAAAAAGAAATTTATGCAAAAAAGAAATAGTAGACAATGAGTGGGACACCTATTCTTTGGGGTGTTCTTAAACTGCCTCCTTTTCCTGAGTCCGGATCATTAACTCTATTAACTGGTTTGACCTTCCCAATAGAGGAGAAGATATTTTAATGAAAGTGTTATTTATCCTTCTTTTGCAGAAGAATGATTTCATGTTATCCCATAATACTTTGGGGAGATTATAATGCCGCTATAACATAGCTGTTGTTTAGCTGTTTGAGCCCAATTAAAGTACGTATTTTCCACCTTCAGTGCTTTGTAAAAGGATTTACATACCACTGACTTGTCTATAAGAACAGAATATTTTGATCATATGAGCACAGCTGGGAAAGAGAGTTGGTACTTTATGTCTCTACTGGTAATGCTTTTAATTCTTGCTTGCTAGGGCTCCAGATTACATATAAGGTTCATGGCAACACCTACAGTAGAATAAACCTGTGAACACTTGTGAACAGAATGTGTCTGCTGTCTGTTTGGTGCTATTTAAGATGGGTACCCCTGAACCTCTAGTGGTCAGGAAAGTCTCATAAGTGCAAACTAATGTACATTTAAGAACAAAAAAATTCTGTGGGAACTTCACAAATCATTATGTTGGAGTCTCTCAAAATAAGTTCTCAAGAGGTGATTTTTCACAATTAAGACTAAATTCTAGAAAATACTTTCAAGTTTTCTACTAAGTTCATTGCTCAGACTTTCCAAATTGTTTTAAGTCTCTGCTTAATTGTTTGCTGTCTCTGTGGAGTAGATGTGTTGTTGAGTATTGAATGTAAAGAAGCTTGGAAGTGGTGATAAATTTTCTGTATTTGTACAGGACATTCTCTTGTGATCACACTTAACTCAATTTGTGAGCAATATTTCACCCCCATCTGTTAGCAGGGTTTCATTGCCTGGGAAGATTTCTTAAGTTTCACCCATGGGTGAACTTAGAGCCACTGTGTGGAGCTTAGTGACTTGGAAAGATAGTAATCATCTACCCCAGTGAGACAACAAACCTTCAGGTTTCCTTTCACTATGCCTTTACACATACTTCACTGCTTTTTCCATTGACTGTAAAAAGTAGTTCTTTTTCGTAGCTTTCTATAGAATGTCAGAGGAGGAACAACAAAGGTTCCAGCTTTCCTAACAGGCTTTTCTTACCTTGATCTCAGTTCATTTCCAGAAAAGCTGAACCTGAACATAGCCTCTGTTTGCTGAGGAAAGCAGAGAAAGGAGAGGCTAAGTGTCACAGTGAGCAGCAGCTGTGAGGAACAGTTGTGAGGAATTAAATATGTCTGGGCTGGAGTAGAAGACAGCACCACCTCATTGTGCATTCCTTCTTACACATAGTACTGGAAGACTTGGAGTACCTGAATGCATTCTGTCTTCCTTAGCTTTCACAGCAGCCAGGCTGATGATGTATTCTCCCCTGTCTCTCTGTCTCTCTGGTTGGTCTTTCACTGGTCATAGACCTGCTGGGACTGGACCTTATTTTCCTTGACCTGAATGTGACCTGAAGGGAGCAGATTGTATGAAACATAGGTTACTTTAAAAATGCACTGCAGGCCTGGCAAACTGGGCATATAGGATCATAGAATGGTTTGGTTTGGTTTGGTTTGGTTTGGTTTGGTTTGGTTTGGTTTGGTTTGGTTTGGTTTGGTTTGGAAGGGACCTTAGAAGTTCATCTCCTTCCTGTGGCACAGGTCCAAAGGGCCCTGCAAGCACTGTGAGAAAGTGGTTGAAGCAGAGTTTTCATTTCTTTTCTCCATTACAAGGCTGCTGTGTAAAACAGCCCCAGGCTGCCTTTTCTCTTTGCTTTCTCCTCCATGGTGGCTCCTGAGCTTCATCTCTGTGGGGGTAACTGAGTTGAGTGAAACAGCCGTAAATGTTTTTCTTAGGTTGGCATGAGGAAAGATGGTTATAAAACACTTGGAAAATAACGGAGACCTGAAGTAGCACTGTGGATAATTCAGTTCTGGTGGTGTAACTCATTTTGTAGCCTGTTTCCAAGTGCCTGATTGTCAGAGAAATAGAAATGTACTTAAACTGTGATGGATAGTGTGCCTACAGAGGCTGCATCCTGGGAGTTTTTCTGCAAAGTAATCAAATAAAGAATGTTTTGAGGGTCACATGGACTTGGGTTGATATCTGTGAACTAAACTAGTGGTTCCAGTCCCTACTTTTCCTTCCAGACCAGTCATTACTGATTGTCCTCTCTGCTGCCCCACCCAGTAGCAGCTGGGTAATACCAGCAGGAGATCAGAGGTCCAGCTTTCTACTTGTGGACACCCAGTGGAGGAACTGCTTCTGGAGTCCCAAGAAAAAATGGAGCAGAGCCTTTTTTGCTCTAAGGTAGCTCTGAGATTAAAATGTTGGCTAAAATATGTTTTCAGCTCTCTGCTAGAGGGGATTTGGAACCAGAGCTCCTCCTGGTGGCCTCTTACCTGCCTCTGAAAAGTTGGTTAGGGAGACATTCTCTGTATGGAGGTGGCCTTTTCTAAAGAAATGGTATCAATCAGATATTCGGATTATGTTCACATTAGCAGTAGAATAAAATAAGACACTGTCTTTTCAAGTTGCATTGCAGTAGGTATGCAGCTGCATGCAGTCATACATTATATTATTGTGATTTTCCACCTGGCTTTTTGGGTCATGCCAGGTGGAAATATGAATGCCAGGAAAGGCATTTTATATGTCTGATTTTAACATAGTGGAATGTTGTAAGTATAAACTCACTTGGCCCATCCCATTATTTGCCAGTACAGCTTCAAGTATATAAACTCACACCTAAGTGGATAAAATGGACAAAGGCCATTAAAAGTACTGGAGCAGAAATGCTGTAAGCAACAACCATCTTGAGTATCAGTCTCCTGCCCTGGAATGGAAGGCAAAAAGATGTACAACACAAGACAGCCCTCTCTTTGTCTTGGGGACTTAATATTTCCGAGCACTTTTCTGCTGTGCAAACACCCCAGCCATGCTGGGAACTTTGTCACTACGCAGACATCCCATACCCAGGCTCCTGTGAATGTACACAGACTGCTTTTCCCTCAACACGAGTGCCAGCTTCTCAAATGCCACACAGTGCTACCTGGGTTTTTTGCAGTGTTGTTAGCCTGCACTGCTACCTATGGAACCAGAATGTAGTAATCAAAATACCACTTGGCAAAGGAACTTATTCTCTAGAAGGTGACTTGTGTCACTGGTAAAGTTTGTTCATATTAACAGTGATGCAAGAAAATACAGAGTCTTTGCAATAGAGATCACCAAACATTGCCTGGGATGCATTCATATTTTGCCAAAGGGTCATGGGCTGGCAGAAGAGCCTCTTCAAATTTGTTCAAGTTTTTTCAAGCTTCATGCCTAAATTGTCTGGATGTGTGGAGCTTGCACACACTAAAAGTACTACACTCAGCAGAATTAACTGCATTGTTTATTTATTTATTATTGTGGGTATACTTGTCCATTGTCTGCTTGGGAGGTAAAGCTGTAAAGTTGTTTTCCATGGTAAGACTTATCTGAGGAAAATCAGTTAGGTTTCAGAATTCTGAAAACACCTTTTTTTTTGAGCCCAAGAACTGATTGTCTATAAAGGAAATTAGGCAAGTAGAGAAGTTTGCAGAAGAGCTGGCAAATAATGTCTCACCAGTTCATCACCTAGTCAGCAGGAATGGAAGCTGATAATCCATGAAATGTTTAGGTGTACCACTGTGAATGAATACACAATAAATTGCCCAGGAATTATGATGTCAATGATGAAGTACAGTACAGAGATTGGTTTACTGCCTGAAAATTGACCAAAAAACCCTTTCCAAGATTTCAATGGCAGCTGCTAAAAAGCAGCTGAATATTCTTCAAGTGTCCAGTACTTTACTGAATTTATCTGCTTTGTCTAATCTGCTATCTCTACTAATTTATTCAAGCTTTACGTGGAATTTCTTGCACCTTAATTTCATTAAAACCCAAATTTGTTTTAAAACTTCTTCATGTTTGCCATTTAGCAACTGCATTTCTTAATTCGTCAGTTCTAATTTTTTTTTTTTTTAATGCAGAGTAAGCGTGCTGTACAACTGGAGGTGTTATGTCAGTTCCGTATGTGGTAAAACATAACACACTAGGTCTCTGTAGCACCTCTGCCTTACTGCACACAATCATGGCCCACCTCTCTGTCTATCCACCACTCCCACTGGATCCTGAATCCTTTTCTGTGCTTCACAAGCCTCCTACTCATAATTTTGTACAGTTAACAGGTCCAGAACTCACACACTCATCTCACAGGTCCCCTCAGGTACTAGCACTGCTCCTCTGCCTACTTGGTACTTCTGCTCAGACCCAGCAGCTTCTGCTTGCTGATGGGTACAACTTGAGGTTTGCCAGTGAAGTGCACCCCAGACCTGCACACAATGTGTTGGCAGAAGATACAGACCCCCTTCTGCCCCATGGCAAATGGAGCCATGCACGCATGCCTGTGACTTGAGGTCTCAGTCCAGCTGCTGGAGCTGAGCCTCTCACCTTCTTTGTTCTCCCTCACAGTTTCTGTTTTTCAGGATGCCCATTGTTGTCACAGTGCCTGGTGGCAAAGACCACCACCCACTGTATTTAAGGAAAGATTTAATAAAGAGGATAGGACCAAGTTCCTTGATCAGGCACAGGGTGTGTTCAGACAAGTGTACAGACCAGCAAACCAGGCTGTTTTATATCACTTCCTGTCTACTCCCTCTCCTTGTTTCTTCCCAATCCCCTTTCACTAAACATTCTTGTGTAAATTTTTCTTAGTCACTACACCTCTCCCCTTGAACATCTCAAATCCTCACAATCCTCTTTTTTCCCCTTTTCTTATCAGTTATGAGGGTGGCCATCTCCAAAGCTGGGCCTGGGAGTCCCTTTCAATCATCCATCAATTAGTAACTAGAAACTTATCATCCTTGGCATCGTCTCTCTTATCTGTTGTGTATCAGGTTTGTCTTTTTGTGTTCTTCCTTATCACTTCCCCTCTCATTTATTTTCCCTTTTGCACTGAATAGATCCTTGATTAAGCTTAATTGGAATGATGCTCTTACCTTCACATACCTACAGGACAAGACATTTTCCCAGTAGAATGACAAAAAGACAAACGATTTTTGTTGTTTGCAATGTGGATTTGAGTCATGAATAGTACAGACCAGGGCAAAAAGAGTATCAAACTCATCTTAAAGCTTCCTTTGCTGAAACCAGTTCTACATTGCTAAACCCCAGAAACATAACTGTATTCTTGTCTTTGAAAGTCCAGCATGGAAAGAAAAACTGTAGGTGATGCAGTTAAAAGGTGATTGCATGACCTGGATCTAATAGCTTGTCTCACCTCATGGTGCAGCAGTGGTGCCACCAGCACCTTGCACTGAGCCCAGTGGAAGCAAATGACAGCACCTTTTTTTTAGCTTACCTGTGGCTTGTGAATGATGTGTAGCTTGCAGGAAGCGTGGCTGCTGGATGACTCCCAGAGCAGATACAGGGTTACCCTGTGGATTAGAAACTTATTTGTCTAAAACACATCACTTCTGAATTGAAACTGTACCTTTAACCTACTTTCTCAAGGTACAAACTGTTTATTA